CTGGGGCAGAAGCTGCCCTCCAGCAGGCCGGACGAACGCGCACGAAGGCACAGACCCTGTCGTCCTTTCTAACACTGCGGTCCCAGCACCTAAGCCCCGTGACTGAGACTGGGCGGACAGGTGACAGAGCCGCTGAACGGATGAAGACAAAAAGGCACATGTCCTAACTTCTCCTTTGTCCCGGGACTCAGCGTGAGCCCCAGTGGGGCCAGTTAATCAGGTGGAAGGAGATGGGGGCACCGAGCCACCGTCTGCAGAGGCAAGTTCCAGGCGCAGAGTCTGGGCGCCCTCTTGAGTGACCAGGCCCCACCCCGGGGTGCCCGGAGCATGGGAGGGGCTGGGAGGGACAATGTGCTTGGGTGACGGCCCCCCTCCCAGGGCCCGCGCTCCCAGCAACAGACGAGGAGGAGGGGCTGCGTGCACACGAGAGCCCCCACAGCCCCAGAGCGCCAAGGGAGGGGGAGCTTCCTGTTTCGTGAGAGCCCCCTTCTTCCGTAAGCACACCGGCTCACGTGCTCCCCGAGTTCTTCCCGCAGAGCCCTTGTCACACTCCATGTCACCGTGGCGCCGAGAGAAGCGCTAACAGTGAGAAACGGCACCACCCCAAACACCGGGACATACAACCCGCTAGTCCTTCCCATAAACCAATGAGGCGCCCCATTTCACATGTCGGGAGCGGCAGCGCCATGAGCCGCGGGCCGGGTCCCCCAGGCCTGCTTCCAGCACAAGGGGGTATCTTGCTCACCTCCGAACCTGGGCACACAGAACAGACCCCACTGCACCCAATAAAGGAGCCACCCCATTTTACAGATGGGTAAACAGAGGCCCTCGTCTGCACTGCCTCCTAGCAGACAGCGTTCACATCACCCCCCACGCACAGAGCAGATGGGTCTGAGTTCTTACACACCTGCCCAGCGAGGCGGCCACCAGTAATGACTGGGGTGGTCCCAACATCTCCGCCCTGATTAGCTCTTGGGTCTCTGTCGAGAGAGGAGGAGGTGGGGAGGGGCACTCGGAAGAAGGGAGGAGGGGAGGAGGAGGAAGAAGAGGGAGAGGGAGAAGGATGAGGGAGGGATTCTCAGACTTTGGAAAGTTTCTGCAGGCAAATTCCACCCAAAATTATTCCGGTTTTTAAGTCACTAGGTCTTTCTTTACAAAGTCACAGTAAAATACCAACTTGTTTTTAAGTGGAACATAGAAAGCGCAAATTAACTTCCTTAACGTAAATGAAAATACACATGGAAGCCTGGATATGCCCCAGCAACAGAGAACAGGACAAATCACATGCTAATTACTGCCTGAAAGAAGATCTGGTTGTTAATTGCGTGTGTTTCAGGCATTCCACATGAGCAACCTACCTGAAAAGCTTTTCAATTTGTGTGTCGGGAAAGTTGGTAATTAAACACTTCAAATCCCTATTGACTTTATCAGAGATATGATAATCCTTACATAGTTAGATTATAATTATTTTTATTTGTCAAATGGAGTTGGTATTTAGTTTAGGAAAGTATTAGTCTTCCAGTCTTTTTTAAAACTCCCCTGGGACCTGTCCTCCGCGAGGAGTACCTGGAGCCGCCCAGGAATGGTGTGCAGAACCCAAAGACGAGGCTTAGCAAGCGTGCTAGGAGGGGCGTCTGAAACCGCTCATCCCCTTCTCAGCCTTGTCTGCCCGGGACCCTGATTCATCCACTCAGAGACCCCTTTTTGAGTGACAACTGCTAAAAGCAGTCTTGGGACACAATGTCATTTTGGTGGCGTTTCTGATAAAAAATTTAAAAAGCACAACCCCCACGGAACCCTGATGTTTTGCAACATCACACAAAACCAAATGAAGAGACACTTTAGAAAATGACTGACCTGTGCTTGGCCACAATGTGAAGGCCACCAAAGAAAAACAAAAAACAGAACAAGACCAAAAAAAGCCTCTGAGCAATTATTCCAGAATTGAGGGGGAGTAAAAGGGCATCACATCGATGGACCGAGGGTATGACGGCAAGTGAAATAAGTCCGACTGAGACAGACAAATGCCGTACGATCTCACTCGTGTGGAATATAAGAAATAAGACAAATGAATAAACAACAACAGCAACAAAAACCAGACTCTTAAATACAGAGAACAAACTGGTGGTTGGGGGCAGGGGATGATATGAACCAAAGGGGATGAAGAGGTACAAACGTCCAGTTATAAAATAAGTAAGTCGCAGAGATGCGAAGTACAGCACAGGGAATATGGTCAATAATACCGTAATGACGTGCGGTGACCCCTCTTACAGAGATGAATGCGAGTGATGTACAGACCCGTAGAAGGCTATCGTGTGCCCCGGCACTAATTTAACGTTGGGTGTTAATTATACTTCAGTCAAAACACGATACTAAAAAGAGAGACACCACAACTGAATACAATTTGTAATCCTGGATTAAACCTAGGGCCAGGAAAACAATGTTTCTGACTCTGAAGAACACTCCGTTGCAAATATGAATAAGGTCTGTGGATTACATATTACTGTCATATTAATGCTAATTTCCTGATTTGGGTCACAAACTGTTGTTGTTATGTGAGAGAATGTCCTTATTCCTAGTGATGGGGGATCGCCGAGCGCCACGGTCAAGAAAGAATTCTTGAGACGTCTTCGGTGCAAAAAGCGTGCTTCTATTAGAGCACAGGGACAGGACCCAGGGGCAGGGCGAGCTGCCCTGGGATTGTGAGGCGTGACTCATTCTGTACTTTCAGGTTTGTGGAGGGAGGGGTCAGGTAGAGATAATGTCAGTTTCTAAGGAATTTCTGTATGCTGAAAGCAGGGTCTACAGGACCTTGAAGATCTGGCTATTGTCAAGATAAGGTTGTTTTTGGTCTCTCCAAGAACATGAAGGCAGCTGTGCATTCCCTGAGGAATGTCACGCTCTGCAGGTCTCAGGTGATGACATAACTCTTCACTGGTTTGTCATGTGGGAGACAGAGGGACCGATTTGGTCATTCACTCAGTAAATATGTATTAAGCACCAATCATGTGCCTCGTGCAAGGTACTGGGGACACTGCGGTTTAAAAAAACAAAAAAGTCCCAACTGGAAAGGAAATGAAAACTCAGAGGTTTCTGGCAAATCCCCGCGTCACCTGGGTGTCTTGAGCTCAGCATGTCCCAGAGCAAACGTGCCCCCCCCCGCCACCTCCACCAACCCCCCCCCCAAACTCCCAGACTTCACCCGTGTCTGCTGCCTTGGGACATGGCGCCCTAACCCACGCAGGGCCCGATGCAGGAACCCGGATGCTCCTGCCCCCGCATCAGCTACGTCCAGCCCATCACCTGGCTCAGCTGGTTTCACCGCTTACATACCCCCGTCTCTCCCCATGTCCACGGCCCCCACCTGGACTGCCCACTCGGCCTTGCAGCAGGTGTCCTTCACCGGGCCGGCAGACCCAGCAGCCAGAGAGATCTTTCCAGAACCTTCCACCGGTCACATCACACCCTGCTCACAACACTTCGGAAGCTGCCTGTTGCAAATGGAAACAAAGACTCCTTTCTTTCCTATTACTTATTTTACCGACAGCCTCATGCATGTGATTATTTCATAAAGGGCTGACTCTCCAACCACACAGTGAGCTCCGTGAAAGCGGAAACCACGCCTGGCTTTGCACACCACTGTGAGCACACAGTTGGCATTCAAATTAATATTTGTTTAATTAGGTGGATAAGCAATTAAAATAATTAGTGTCTGGCTCTGGCCAGCGAATGGAGATTCACTGTGGCCGAGGACCTGGGCTGGCAGAGTCTCGGGGACACCCGGACAGATATGCCGGGCAGGCAGCTGGAGGCTGACGTTAGGGAAAGGCCCAGGCTCCTGTCCTATACGGAGCTGTATGCCCCAAGCCCACCCCTTCAGCATCCTCCCTCCGCCCATCAAGAAGCCGGCGGGGGTCCACGTGCCCTCTGCCCCCCAGCGTGCTGTCGGTCACTTGCCTAAGACTGTCCCACACTGCCTGTTGTAGAGGCCGTTCTAGAGGCCGCTGGGCAACATGCAGCCAACCTGTTTTGCTCAGCATCCTTCTATCCCCCCAGCACGGAGCACAGCACCCTTTGTGTGGGGAGGCGGGGGTGCTCGGGGAAGGCTGCCTGAGCCGAACTGGAAGTTTTCTGGTGTGAAATGCTTTCAAAAGGAGAGAACACAGCTGTGATCCTTGATCACATTCATTCATTTTATTCTTTGGGGGACTTGGAATCCATCAAGCATATCAAATTACGGCAAATGATTCCAGACTACGCCTCATTTCAAACTGCTGATGGGATAAAAACATCAATGCTGTTCTAAAAATAATAAAAAAAAATTCTTGCAGTTCCGTTATTTCACATTTAAATTAACTTCCTTCATGGGTATCATGATGATCCGAGGGGGATCATCTTGTTCTCACAGCCACCGGGTTTTCTTACACTGGGTGGTGGTCATGAGGGCCGGACCCTTACCTCTCTGCCCGCACACCCCACGGACCTTCTGGGCCCCGTCCAGTTGCCACGGCCCAGAAGTGACAAACAGCCCCGTCCCCACGGGCCCGGGCTTCTTGACCTGGGCACTAGTGGTATCTGGGGCCGGAGAAGTCTGTGTTGGGAGGGGGTGCCGCCCCATGACTGCAGGAGGTTCAGCAGCATCCCGGGCCCCCACCTCCCGATGCCACCCCCCCCGCCGGCCCACCCACCCCAGGGTTGTGACAACCAGGAAGCCCTGCAGACATCGCCAATGACCCCCCCACCCCCGCAGCTACACGCCGTGTGGACACGCCTCTGCCCCCCAGTGCCAGACTTCCCGGGGGGCTCTGCCACACAGCTCCGTCACAGGCCCCTCCAAGAAAAGAAAGAGAATATCACGTGCACATAGCCATGAATTTAAAACGACGGGGGCATAAATTAACTTCAGACCTTGTGGTGCCTCGAAGTCTGGAGCTCGGCTCATTAGCTGAGGTTGTAAAGGGCAGCCACACCGCTCTCCTGGCCTCCCTTCAGTCACTTACCAACTTCAGCGGCTTTTTCCTTAACTGGTGTGAGGCCAGTTTGGTGGGACCGGCAAAAAACGGGCAGGAACAGGCCCCACGCAACAGGCTACGGGCCTCTGGTGGCCAGAGAGGGTCACTGCAGGGCCCCAGGGAGTGTCCGGTGCACAGAGGACCCTTCTCTCCGGCTCCTCACTCGGCAGCAAGGCCTTGGCCCATCTGCTCTCGGGAGGCCCGGGATCCACCCGCGGAGCTGGGTTTCCGCACAACTCCCCTGGTGCTCTCCTGGGGGTGCTCCCCAGCTGTCCTACACCAAGCCTTTCTTGCGTCACCTGGGACCGGGCAGGGAGGTGCCCAGTGCAGGAGTGACTAAATCAAACACACGCTTCGCTTACCCTCAGTCACTAAAACCTCCTGACCCTGCCTTTGAAGCGGGCATAACTGCCACCAACTAAGCCATGGACGCAGGCAAAGGGACAACAGCCCCCCACCCTTCCCCAAGCTCGCTCAGCCCTGGGCACCGGGCAGCCGGGTGGTCTGGTTGGAAAGTTGTCCTTCAGTCCAGGGGCATGTGTGGATAGGTAGCAGCGATCGAAGGCTTCTAGGACAGTCACCGGCCCCTTCCACATGGAGAAGGCCACATAGGAGGGGTGACGTGGCAAAGGGCCCACGCCCTGCTCCGCCACTTACACAGCGGGGACCCCAGGCAGGTGTCGGGCCCAGGCCGAGCCCCTGGTTTTACCTCTGGGAAACCAGTAGGAAATAACATATAAGCCCATTTGACTGCTCAATTCTCCTTGCAGGAAGTGAACGTACGGGAAACAAGGAATCATGTCATGACATGTTTGTCTACGGGGACGGCCTTGACCCTGTTGTGTGGAATCCCGACGAATGGAGGAGTGCACCAAGCTCGCCTCAACCAAAGAGACTGAGTGAGCAGACGAGGGCAGGGCGCTAAAACCCAAGACTGCGGCATCCGTGCCGCGAACAACAGGAGGACAGAGAACACAACAACGTCCACAACGATCCTGTATGCGCATCTAGTATTTCGGGGGAACGTGTGGCATCTGTCGTAACACATACAAAAACGCTCACAGTGGGCGATGGAACTGCCTTCCTGCTTTTGTACATTTTCCGACTTTTTTTTTTTTGTTTACAATCAACATGTATCTTCATTGTTACACTCGGGGGAGGGGAGGGTAACGAGGACGGCAGCCGGGGACCCGTCAGCAGGGGTAGGGGACCCCTGGGCTCTGCCTGGCCACTGTCCCAGCACAACCATGCCCCCTGCTTCTGTACCATGTACGAAAGTGGGAGCCACCTGCTCGTGCACATTTTTGCTTGTTTGTGGATTTGCCTGGAAAATGGTCGACCTGGTGCAGGCTGGAAAGCAAGAGGCTCCTTATCTGCAAAGGGCTCGGCCTCCAGCTGCTGCAACTGACGGCAGCATCCGGTCAGAGGGCGGGGGGTGCATCCTTTGAACAGAAACGACGCTGCCACCCCCCTCCGGGCACTGAATCTAAAGCCAGTCCAGAGTCGACCTTATCTGCAGCTGCCGCTAACCAGACAGCCACAGCCACGGTTCCGCACACACAACAGAAGGCAGGGAGCGGAGGACCCCTCCTGGGAGGACCCTAGAGGGACTCGAATAAGGGGCCTGGTGGGGCCGGGCCTTCCACTACTATCAGCAGGTCACCAGGTTACGGCCCGTCTGACCTCCCCTCCTTCTGGGGAGGAGGATAAGATCTGTGCATCTCCAAGTTCCTTTATAACGAGGTAAAGTCTGGAGGAACTGGTTTGGGTAGGGACTACCCTGATAGGATTTACAGATCAAAATCAGTTCCCACAAATGAAGACCAGAATCTAAATTAGACAGCTCTAGCCCACTGTTTCAGAGGCTTGCAAATACACTGTCCATGGCCTTGCTTGCTTGTCTTAAGACAAGCATGTAGAGGCAGCCGCATACAAAGCTATAACACAACTCCCTGGCATCCACGCATCCACGCATCCATACATCCACACATTCACACACCCACGCACCCACTCACCCACGCATCCATACACCCACACATCCACGCATCCATACATCCACGCATCCATACACCCACGTACCCACGCACCCACTCACCCACGCATCCATACACCCACATACCCACGCACCCACTCACCCACGCATCCATACACCCACGTACCCACGCACCCACTCCCCGCATCCATACACCCACGTACCCACGCATCCATGCACCCACGCATCCATGCACCCACACATCCATGCATCCACGCATCCATACACCCACGTACCCACGCATCCATGCATCCACGCATCCATACATCCACGCATCCATACACCCACGTACCCACGCATCCATACACCCACGTACCCACGCATCCATGCACCCACGCATCCATGCATCCATGCATCCACATGCATCCACGCATCCATACATCCACGCATCCATGCACCCACGCACCCACACATTCACACACCCACGCACCCACTCACCCACGCATC